ACATTTGAATACGTTTTCCCATTAAGATGGTGTTGCAGCGAATGAAAAAGATGGTCATCTGATGATGTCATATCTGGAGAATATGGTGGGTGGGGGAGAGCTTCCTAACCCAACTCCATAATCTTCTGTTGTATCAAATGTGCCACATGTGGACGTGCAAACATCGTGGAGAAGAACACCTTTCCGATTCACGAGTGTAGAGCATTTTTGATTAAGGGTTTGATTTAAATGTTCCAGTTGCTGACTATAGATCTCTGCATGTATATTTTTTGGGGGATGGTTAATGAAAGTGTTCCAAAATGCGATATTAATTTCTTGATGACCAATATTAGCACAAGGTGCCTGAATTGATTATGTCTGTCTGTCTGACTCAGACACTGAGAAGTCAGAGAGCAAGGTGATGACCATGAGAAAAACAGAAATACCTTTGTCCATTGTACAGTTTACACACTGTATTTGTATAACCTCTAGAACCTCCAATATGCATATCTACAGTTTTTCAGTATCCCTGTATATTATATCTGGTGTCTATTTTTCTCTACCATCATCTATCACTAAATCAACAATGTGAGGTAAAATAAATAGTTCATAACTCTGACTTCAAATACATAAACTGTGTTGAATGGCACTCTGTAAAAGGTCGTGGAATGTGCACTTGGACCCCAAGCCATACATACAGAAATATCAATGAAGTTAAAATTGCCTAAATGTAAATAATGAAACATTATGGTCAACAATAAAAATATTGAAATTGTTAGGCAAAAAGAAGTATTATAATGTTTTTTCACAACAGAGACTCACAGTAAAATCTTGGAAATTTAACAACCTAAGAAATACTAGATCAAATTATAATATCTTTTTAAAGCAGAAAATAGATAAGATTTAGTAAATTTGCAATCAGTTTCATCCCATTTGGTTAAGTATTTCCAACGTAAAAAAGAAAGAAAAATCAGAGAATATCAGCATCATCATTTTCATCACAAAAAGTGATAAAACCTTCTGAACACATTTCATGACAACTTTTAAACTGATGCTTCTACCAATGGAAATAAACATATAGTAATGCTAAGCAACTTTTGACACATGGAAGACAAGGGAATAAGTAACCATTTTATTGCCAAGATACCAAACAAGTGCACCTCTATCCTGATTATTTTAAGTAATACATCTATGACAAACAAATAACAATGATTATTTTTTAATTAATAATTATAGAGCTGATCCAAAATAAACCCATGCATGTAGAACAAAATTTAAGTAATGCGAAAGTTACGGGTCGATAATATATCCATTTTGATAAAAAAGTGTTAAAAATTTGATAACATAAAAACAATTAAATCTCATCACATAATTATTAACAAAATATCAAACTACTACAATTCATATTTGATGATAAGTTAATTGGATGAAAAATAGAAGATTTTACATTGATTTGAATATTGTTTAAACGTACCTGTGTAGTTTTTCCACATCCCGTATCTCCAACTAGTAGCACTACTTGATTGTGAAATATGGTTTTAACAATATTTTCCCTCAGCGGCCAAATGGGAAGACTCTCTCGGACACTTGAAAGTTCACTATCTAGGCGACTCTGAGGTACCTGTGGAATTCCATTGTTAAGTCTACCTGTGGTGCGGTTAACATCCCGATCTAACAAAAAATAAAAATAAATATGTCGATTGTCTGAGGGAAATGACTCTATTATTTTTTTTTACTAGTAAACAAATTTTACAATTTTATGATAAACACTTTTAATTCCTGCCTGACTATTAACACAAGGTAGGTACTAACATAGTTGTTTGTACCTTAGCTTCATTTAGTTCTCTACCTTAGAAATGGAGCATTAGTTTTAAATGCTATTTGTTAAGTGTAAAAATTAATAAGTAATAAATTCTTAATAAAAAAGACCTAATATTTTTTAAGATTTATTATGGAAGGTAGACTTCAAAAAGTTTACTCTGTTGCCTATAAACAGCAATAATACACATACTATGTACTTCATACAAGTGTTTTTAAAATCTATTAAGATTATGTACTTGCAAATACAAGTAAATATACACTGGTTTTTAACAAAGATCTACAGGAAACTTTCTAACACCCACCAATATTTTAATTATTAATCCTGTCACACCTGGTGTTAAAGAACCATAAATCCTCTAACAACAAGAGCTCTAGAAACATGAATTGCAGTTCATCAATGCTAAAGTGAAGTGTATATAACTATCATCCAAAGAAATTATTATCTCTGAAAAAATAATTTACTGCCAACAAAAACCATGTATGGAGGGATTTCAGAATGCACCCATTACGCCATGAAAACCCACCAATAACTGAGCTCTCATCAGGAATGATACAAATTTCGAGAAAAATTGTTCTATTATAAAATGTGGCTGTAGAATGGAATGTATTAATGAAACTGAACAACCATTTACAAGTAAATATTTAAGTAACCTTTGCATTTTTCCTAACTTGGGTTATCTTTACTGTCAGTGAACAAAGAGAGTTGTGTTAAGAACAATCTAAATGAATCCACATGATATGGTTCTTAAACTTGATAAAGAAAAAAATCTCCAGAATGTTTAAGGATTATCCAGAAAGAAGCCGTCTATTTTCCGAGACTTACACGTACATCTATTATTTAAGATCTCTATCTTACCATCTGATGAGTCAGAAGCATAAGTATTCATTGAAACCTACTAAATTTATTTAATAATTATCAAATGCAAGTTTTACATCAAGCTATAATTACTTTAAAGTGCCATTAAAAATACTAGAACTAATACGAATACAAAGCTTTCTATGAATGAACACAATGTTCAATAAAAACAGGGTAACCATTACACAATTAAAATTGGAATTTTGAAATGTCCAATTCAACACACTCATATGTGTTAAAACATAAAATGTTGCTTTGCTTCATTAGCTCTCTAAATTTAAAATTATAAAAAAATCCTACACTTCTTATACTCCAAGGCCAGATGAAGGAGTTGGAGGGCTAGAACAAATTTTGTATGGGGCCCTCAGATCTGTACTTCATAAACAAGTCAAATACAATTCAATACTATTTATTAGCTGTAGTTTGAGTATACACAAACACAAGCGATGGGTAGATAATATACAAAATACTAATTCTAATATTTATAATAAATATAAAGCAATAACAATAAATTCTATTGTTAAATGACAAAGCAAATATTTATCAAAGAACAAACTGTAAGAGCACATTAATGAAAAATTACAGAATAATATGTCTATACGAATTAAATAAAATCACTGTAATCGTAGTGACACTGTTGCAATTCTTTTTTTTTTTTCAGTAAGACATCCAGTTTTTGATTATTTTTCTCTTAGGCAGGAGACCCTTCGATCCAGGGGGTCTGGGGAAATCCCACCTTTTTATCCTCACCTTAATCTGACCTTACTTATACTGTCACCCACCAAGGGTCAGTCTTAATTAATCTTCTAACATATGCAATTAATAGAAATAGAAACTGCACACTGTACAGCTAGTCAACTCTTTCAGAAAGAGTCAATCAGATTCACCAATTGAGAACTATGTACATACTATATAACACTGAATTTACTATGTGTATATTCATGAAATTTGCCAAGTCTATTTTCTTTAATCATTTTATTGCAGTACTTTGTATTTGTTTGAGTAGTAACCATAGTGAAAGAGAAGCAATAAATTACACAGAGAACCAATAGCTGTTTCTAGCAGAACATAACATAAACAGCACACAAAACATGGCATGCACATAACTTCACCTTGAGCTTGTGAAATTTTAAACTTTTTATTTTAATGAAATTTCTTTAGGCTAATCTGAGAATGTTTCTAATAAAAAAATAGACATAAAAATACAACGATTTGTAGCACTCACTTTACTATCAAACAGGTTGGCATTTACGTGGAAATCAGAAGCAATTCTTTCCAAAGCCTCACAAACTTGAATGTCCAAAGTTATAATTTTCCTATATTGAAAATGTAATTCCGATAGGTACTTACCTCCACTCATATAAATAGCTATTATCGTTCAGTGCTGCCCCCTGTATGCAAAAAAAAAGTGTGCATGCATGCCTTGAAACTCCCACCCATTTGGAATGGACGAATTCCAATGCATTTTGGATGCAAATTATCATGCAACAACCCTCCACCAATAATAGCGTGACACACTCTCTTGATGCATGTGATTCCCTCTATTCAATTCTACCAAACTATCATGTCAGGTGTAGTCAGAAAATGGAAGCATTGGTTTTCAGTGGAGAGGAAGGGTGAGAAGTGTAAGTGGATGTAAGTACCCATCAGAAATACATTTTCAGTATAAGAAAATTATAGCTTCCAATATGGTACACTGCTTCATCTCACATAAGTAGCTAGAATCCCACATTGAATAGGTGGAGGAATTGGTGCGAGGGAACGAAACAAGCATCCTTTTAAAGGAGAGCTTTGGCATTGAAGATCAGATGTGGGAGACCACACCACTTCCGAACCAGGGGTATTCCTCACCCATTGTGGAAAGATGTCTCATAAATGGGCAGAAAGAAGTAGGAGCACATCCAAATGGGAGAGAAATATGGCAGGATAGTGATCCGAACTATAAGTTAATTATTAAACTCAATCCTGTAAAACAGCAAAGTGGGTAAGATTAAAGGTGCAGAGTGGCTAGGGTGCAATGGACCATACACAGCAAGCCAACTACATCCAAAACCCATGCTACTGGGAACTGACATCTACATGAGGGTAGGATGAGAATCATACCATCAGTAAGTCAACTACAATCCAAAACCTGGCCATCAGGTACCAACATCCATGTGGGGGTAGGAAAGAGGATCATCCTACTGGCAAGTCAACTATAACCCAAAACCCAGCCATCTGATGGGGGTAGGAAAGAGGATCATCCTACTGGCAAGTCAACTACAACCCAAAACCCAGCCATCTGGTTGGGCTAGGAAAAAGGATCATACCATCTTCACCTGAAGTTCATGAGACCGGAGGGAATCTTGTACCCCTGACCTATGAACGAGCACATGATAACAATGTGAGAAATTGAATGATTGATCCAATAACCCAACATCTGTAAGCACCTCCCCTGTGACTTCAACACAGATGGGGTAACAAGAGTATAAATGGGTGAGGGAATAGAGACAACTATAATACATATGTGAGGACTTTTGTTGATTGGTTCAGCTCTAAATCCAAAACCCAGCCACTGGGAACTGATGTCCACATGGGGGTAGAATTAGGGATCCCAATCGAAGGGTTGAACTGCAAATTAAATGGCTCACTCCCATGTTAGATAGTGGAGGTTATCCCGCCCTCTACACCAGCAGAACACCACCACCATACTCTCAACTGAATGGTTTTATAATCATTTATATATATTATTTGTATTTCACTAACACATTCAGGAGGATGCCTGCACAGTCCCCCACCCTAGAAGCTTGTAACTGGAAAATGGTAAGGACTCTCAAACATCACCAGAAGAAAAGGGGGAGAAAGCATGGTGGAGAGTTCAGAGGAACAACAACACCTGAGATAGTGCAATGGGTGACCACAAAACCCTGTTTTGAAAAGCAGACCATACTGATTTATTGATTACAAGGCATGACAGGTGTGGGCAGCTATCCCCTTCTGCTTTACCTATATATTCCATGGGTGAGTAAGGTCTGTGTCGGGCAAACGTATTGCGAGTATAAATCTACAAGTGATCTTGTGGAACACCTCATCTCTGCAGTGAGCATTACATGGCATTGGAATCATAATACGTAAGTCGACATGGTCTTACAGTGTGGATCTGAATGGTTAAAGAATACCTGGTCAGGCACCACTTGCCACAGAGCAAGATCCAGACAATGATTAGCAATAAAAATGGAAAAGGGGAAAAAGGCCCCTGAAAAGGAAGAAAAAGAGTAATAAAAGATAATTTACCCAGTCAAAGACTCAATGAAGTCTGAAGAATGGCTACAGGTGGAAGACAATAATGCAAAGATAAAGATACCACTATCCTATGCAAATAGTGAAAGACAAATGTATGAGGAGTAGTTCATCTGCCCGACTGAAGAATTTCTTCCAAGGGATGATGAAAATCAGATGCCAATGAAAAGGTAAGGTGTTGTATTCGATGAGAAGATACCCAAAACAAAGTACAGGAGGAAGACGATAAAGAAGAATAAGTCAATCAATTTAAAAGCCAAACCTAACTGGTGAGGGTGGAAGGAGAGTGATCATGAACAGAGAATGTCTGCCAAGGAATAAAAAGGCAGAATGGGCACCACGGAAGGAAGCCATGCAGGTAATATAACAGCAAAGAGCACATACAGGACATAGAAGTCTATGCAGATCAGACCGAAGATAAAGGTGGGAAAGGGAAGGAAGGGAAATTGGCAAAAAGGAGGAGTTACCCTCTCAAGCCGCCAAAGTTTTGGGGAGGAAAGAAAGATCCAGATAAAGGAGAATATAAGTAGATTGATAAAAAGTAAGTGAAACATCGATGGCAAATAAATCTAACCTCCAATGTCTACAGACTAAGATGAGAAGTAAATAAGTCTTAAGGGAAAGCTGAAACAAGGAGTACATGGAGAGTGGTTCGAACAGAGGCAAAGTTAGGCAATGAAGGACCACATTAGCATCCCAATCCTGAAAGACAGCCCACCAAAGCATATTATGAAGGAAGGAACACATAAAAATAGAAAGGGTAGGAGAGATAATCACCCTATGTAATCATGAAATATTAAAAGTGTGGGACAAGGGTGAATGGAACTAGCTAGAAAAGAAACTACCCCTTAGCTGATTCTGCTCACCAACAACCAGATAAAAACCAGGCATGAAGATGGAGGACAGGAAGGGCTGGATGAAACATCAGGGACTGAGGGGTAGTTTGGATCTGGAGTAGCCACAGAAACAAACCACAGTTGAGGTAGCCAGCAAGGAGTGATCAGAGGGACCTGACACAGAGTGGCATGGATGATCAAAATCACCTTGTGAATAAGGCAAATGGGAGGATAGACATACAGGTATTTGTTGGTGCAATCCTAACTGAAGGCATCTACAGCCAGAGTAAGAGGATGAAGGACCAGAAACCAAAACAGAAGCAATTTGTTGTTGAGGGATGTGGCAAATGCATCGATGTGAGGAGTACCCCACTGAAGACATAACCACTGGAAAACAAGAGGATCAAAAGACCACTCTGCTGAATAGACTTTGTCTGGACAGGAAATCCAATCCGCAAAAAGATTGAAAGCACCCAGAAAATTACTTGCAAAAAAGGAAATCCAAAGTATGAAAACATAGGTGGAAAAAGGCTATCAAAATCCCTGTCGGCCTGAACAGGTTTGGCTTGTTCAGGAGGAGGAGGTTGACCCATATAATATCAATCTCATGGCAGATAATTGTAGATAAGTCCCACCTGCAGCCTATGAGATAGTGATAGTAGGTGGTATAATACCCAAAGTAGTAACATTAACCTCAAAATTCATAGTTGAAATATAAATCAAACAAGTGTTTGATGCATAAAAATTCAAGAGTGAGGAAAAAAAAAGACTAGGAAATTAAGTTAACTGAAAAATTCTTCTACAATATAAAGATACAAAAAATTAATGAAGAAATTCCATTTCGTAATTTAAACTATTAAAAGTCATGAATTCGAATCACATGAAAGGCACCAAAACAAAAAACATCTTGCCACGAGTGCTGCCAAATGAGGAGTGATAGTTTGGTAGAATTAAATAGAGGGAATCACATGCATTAAGAGTGTGTCGCTCTGTTATTGGTGGAGAGTTGTCGCAGGATAATTTGCATGCAAGATGCAATGGAGTTAGTCAGTTACAAATGGGTGGGAATTTCAAGGCTTGTGGTGTGTGCAAAAAATGTTTTTTGCATATAGAGTATAGCTTCTTATGTGAGAAGAGGTAATGTACCATATCGGAAATTAATTTATGTAGCTTTCAAATACCTATCTTAGAACACAAAAAATATATCAATCACTAGAATAGAACATACTGAAACTACTATAATTTATCTGGTTTTCTTAGTAAGCTTTAAATACATTAAAAACATTTTATTATTGTGAGTAGTATCACAATGATGATGGAATAAGAAACATCTAACAACTGAATAATCTAGGTGGTAAAACTGATATAATAAAAAAGGGATTCATGTAGTGGAGAACCTCTTGCTATCAGTTATAAGCATGGCCATTAGCCATGTAAAGTTGATTAGCAAATAATCTTAAAGTCAGATCGAGGTGGAAAAAGCTTCTCTATTACGTTTGATCAACTTATTAATATCTCAGCAAATCAAGAAGGGAGAAAGTGCAAATTATAAAAATCTTTCTTGTAACTATGTATACTTTGTGTTTCTAATTAGTCAGAAACTTCAGCAGCTATTTTGAAATTAGAAAATTCTGAATCGGAGAAACCACAATTCAGATGTGTCACATTGATGGTTAAAAAAACAAACGATTTACCTACCCTGATTTTCAAATGGATGTAGTCAGAACAACAGCATTTTTGCTTGGTCTCATTGAAAACTATCCACATACAAAGATGACAATGAAGGAATATTTTAAAAGAAGTTAATTTCCAACATCTACTTTTACAATTTTACTGTACATAAAAGTTATCAAAGACTCACTTTCATGACCCATCAGTCGGTCCCTTTCTGTAGGAGGTAGAAGTTCCTGTCGTTCCCGAGCACTAACAGGATACCTCTCCAAGAGAGTAACTACATGCTGCTTTGACACTCGACCCATTTGAAAAACTGCATCTGCTTGCACTATTGTCGAACCCTCTTTTTTGTACACGGTTAAGTAGCGATTGGCTCCATTACTGTATAACAAAAGTTAAATTCAAAAAATGAGTAACTTTATTAGACCATTTAAAATGATATAAATGAATACAAATAACATGGGAGATACCATTGTCCGTGAGTGTGTTATGTAGGTATCATACACTAAACTTCTCTGGAACTTAATATACGAATATATCTTTATTCATGAAATTTGTAAACAATCTTACGTGGTCCAGAGAAATAGTTTGGTGTATTCTGCCAGCATGAATACAAGTCTAAGTGCTTTTTAATGAGTTTGGATATGCTGAACACATGCAGAAAGAGAAATGTTGGAAACCCTGATTTTTCTTTGTTTTGTTAATGGGACTAATTGAGTGACATAGCACTCTGGGAAGTCCTGATACAACATGGAATTAAAGCAAAGTTAGTGTTTGGTCAAAATCTGCCTCATCCTTGTTGAAATGAAACTTGGATACAAGATAATAAAGAATAACACTAATACGTCTAAATGAAAAAATTTCTAGTTTTATTTTATGCAAAGTCAGTTGTGTCATAGTGATTGTCAAATGAAATACATTAGAATTTTCTGACAATATCACAATAGTATTACCTTTTCTGGTTTGGTGCTTGAGTACCCGACACTGAATACTTTCAATAGGGTAAAGATTAACTGAATATTTACAATTCATTGTTATGCTTACTTAATGATTTCTTGTATTCCCTGAAACCTAACAGTATTCTAATTTAAAACTTTTTTTTTAGTTTTCGCAGCTGTTTTTCTTCAAAGAATTTCAGCCTTATAGACATTAATTTACACATAACATACGAATAAGCTCTCATTTTATAATTGTATGTCAATCTTATTTTTTATGACTGTTATGGTAATGTATGAATTTCACATCAATTATTAATGGGAATACATACAACTGCCTCTCTATCCTCACTATTACATTAAACAGCAGTGTCCATTAGATTTTTCTCTGTGCTTCACTGCATCAAAGTGCAAGAATTTAGTCAAGAGCAAACATAGCAAAATCCACATTTTTTTACTGATCTGGCTAGAGAGTAAAACAGCAACCATAAGGTTACTTCAGAAAACAGAGGGTTAGCATTAACCTTTGCCTTTTATTGTTTCTTCTCTTATTTCTTACAACAACTAATACAGCGGTTGAGTACATTATACTAAAATGAATTTGGAGCATCACCACATCATTACATTCCATTTTGCCACATCCAGTCATGCTCTGTCTGACGACTGTGCGTCTTGACAATGGCCCTGCAAAATAGTTTCCATTGCAAAAGGCTCTGTCATAAGGCATTCATGTCTAAAGCCACCCCTTCTTCCTGCTGGTTTTCCATAAGCCATCAACTGTTGGAGGATGATGGTTTCTCAGGCACTAGTTTCAACAGTTCAGTCACACAAAAACCCATAGGCACTGTATCCAGCAACTTGACCAGCAGGTCTTCATATGGAATAGCAGGAATAACATGAATACCTGTTTCATTCTCAACCTGCTTTACATATGTGCTGGGCAAACAGGAGATATGGCTGGAAGTCTCATCTGGGTGAACCTACGGTGTCCTCATTTCCAGATGGAGATCTTTCTTGATTATGTTATATACTGTAGCCTAGGTAATGAAAAAGGCTCTTGCCACTGAACTTGTGTTCATGGATTTTCACCTGTTACAAGATGCCACACTTTGCTTACCACAGTTGGAGTACAACTTGTTGTAGGTCTCCTTTCTAGATTGTCTTGGTTCCCCAAGTTGATCTATATTCCTTAGTTTTCCAATGTCACTTAGAACAAGGGATATCCCTATCTTAGAAATTCTAAATCTCCAATCTGAACACAATTTTCTGATCTGACCCTATGAATATCTTTCATGGGAGAGGGTTGCTACATACCCTTCCCAAAAGCAATTAAATCCTGTTGGCATCACACCACCTATGAAATTCATGTCAAACAATGTCAAAATATCCTGATACATGCTATTTAACATTTTGGATATAACACATTCAACCTTATAATGGCTGGAGACGGCTTAAATGGGTAATGAAGAAAA